AGGCAGGGATTGTCCCCATCAGCTGCTGTCCCCATCGGGCTGGGCAGGCCCACAACAGCCGCAGCGTTTCCCTCTGGACAGAAGCCCAGCTTCTCTCTGCGCTGCCTTGAGGAGCAGCATCCCAGGAGTCACCAAAGCACAGCTTTGGAAGCACAGGAAGCAAGGGAAGCTTTCCAAATCTCACCGTACCCCATGAGCACGGCTCCTCAATTTGAATACTTTTATTACTTCCTAACCTTCCTAACCAGAATTCTCTGAGCTTTGCAGAGAGGTATATAGAATCACTCAAAAAAATAATAAATAAAAAGAACACGCCAAACAAAACTCCCCAAACCCTGGAGTTTAAAAAAGGCTGTTAAAATTTCATACAAGAATTAACAACGGGGAAAAGTTAGCAAATAGGACAAAGTAGAAAGTAAGTTCCTGTGTTTCCAGCAGTGGCTTTGCCAGATGCATCATCACATCTGCATGTGAGCGATTTTTCATTATTTATAAATGCATAACAGGAGCACGGCCAAGCTACAAACCAAGGAGTCCAACACACATTTAAAAAAAAAAAAAATAGCAGGGAATGTGTCTTGGTTATAGAACAAAAGAATTCATTTTATCACTTGGCTTTAGCGCTGCAGAAAATGGCTCCTGGTGCGCTGAACCCCGTGATGAATGTGCCCCCTCCAGATCTTTATTGCCCCTGTAAATCACCGCACTGACAGCACTTAATAAGAAAGCTTTGGAGTGGGTTTGAAGTTTTGCTTTGTACAAATAAAATCTCATATTAAAGAATTTGCTAGTCCTCAAGGTGTGGAAAAATAAGTATGACTAGAACCTGTTGTGCTTGCTTTTTTTAACAGTTTGTTTCCACTATTATTTTTTTTTTAATAATTTTGTAGCAAAGGGACCAGGAAAGCGGTCAGTATTAAAATAAAAATTAGAGTCAGGACTTAGTTATTAAAACCCCGTATTTCTGATGTTTCTATATCCTGTGATGTCTGGACAGGGCAACAAAATCAGAGGCATAAAATATAAAACATTAAATATCGTCCATGGTGTGATATGACATGTTGACAATTCTCCTGGTTTTTAACCAAAGAAAGTGAGGATTTGATGTCCACAGTTATCGGACAAAATTGCACTCTTTGAGAGAGGGCAGGATTATCTGAGTCACCTGCCGCCCCCCAGGTGGGAACAAAAGGGTTTCAATCCCTTGGCAGCAACTGCAACAATTTTCACAGATGTGGTCAGTAATGACTTCTACATTTTTATATATATATATATATAATTTTATGTATTTATACACACACAGCGTTGGTCAAGCACCCTACTATAGGGAAACAGAGAAATAAATTACTCCAACACAAATATATAAATTTCACATCAGAAAGTGGATAGACTAATTTATAATTAGAGATTTAATTGTTTGTTTTAGAGAGGACGTTCTAGAACAGGTATTTGAGGGGGGAAGATGCCCATTTGGAGGTGTTGAGAAGCAAAATGCAGCTTGGCTCAGGCCCTCGTGCACTGATGGACAGTGTCAGCACATCACTGAATTACACTTTAAACAAAATAAATCACATTTCATGTGGTGGTGGTGGCTTTCTGTTCTGCCTCCATGACTTGTGTTATCCTTGCTCAGTTCCAGGCAGCATCATTCCCTCCAAACCAGTTTATGGCTCACCCTGGCTGAGGAAATCTTAACAGGAAACTACAGTTATTTGGACAAAGCTAAATGTATTTCTAGGGAAATAAATGTATTTCCTGTTCAAACTGGGAGCACAAAGGTATTATGTGACAGACTATCAACAGGTCTGGAGGAAGTCCAGCTTCTCCTGACGGGTAAAGCACATTTGGGGAGGTACCTCAAGGAAAATACACACAGTGGGCAAGGTCTGTATGTGCAGGAAAAATAAAGGAAGGTTTTTCCCTAAAAACAAACCCAACCAGTATTAAAGCAGCACATCAGTAAGAGTCCTTTAGG